CGAGCCTCCCAAGTAAGGGTACCATGCTGGCGCATTGCCCCATGTAGCCATTGTTCCAAGTTACCATTATTCACATATTCATATACCAGCATCCTATAAAATCAACCAGCAATTAAAGTTATAATCTGATTTGCAGTCAAATCAAACTCAAATAACTATAAAGACCGGGGTAGGATGAGAAAGGCTAGCATGCATTCACATATTAATACACAATTATGGTTAAAAGCGAAACTGCAATGAAATTGACGAATAAATCGATGAAACATATTCAAATTTCACCTGTGAACTCCTTCTATGCAATAACCCAAAAGCCGCACAAGATTCTTATGTCGAACATGACCAATGGCCTCCACTTCAACCCTAAACTCTTTTTCTGCCTGCCCCCTACAGATCCAATTCACCAATATTGCTACAAAATAAATAAAAACTGCATTAAAAGATATAAGATAGTGTCTCAGAAGATATCCTTACAGATTATTAAGAAGCTTCTTTACTGCTACTTCAGTTCTGTTGATCAGTCTGCCCCTGTAAACCACCCCATATCCACCCTCTCCAAGCACATTCTCTGTTGAGAAACGATTTGTTGCGAGCTCAAGATCCCTAAGAGTAAACCAGTGACCCCACCCAAGATGTGAAATTTCTGGCAGACCAACTAAGGGAGAGGCTGTTACTAGTCCTCCACATGACAATGCAGACTGCTTTCGGACTGTTCCAGAGCTCCCTTCTTCCCCTGAATGGGAACTAAAACCTCTCTCATGATGGTAAATTGAACTACATTGACTGATATTATCAGGATCACTCGATTTGCTTATCCCCAAATGAGCTAGCATTTTCTCTGAATTTTTATCACTTGATTTATCATGAACAGAAAGGAATAAACTTTCAGGATGATCATTGAAGCTCTGAACCCCAACCTTGTCAACCTTGATATCTTTTGAGACATTTGGTATTTGAGAAAGTGGGAACTTGTCTACTGATCTTCTGGATCTCCTTCGAAATGTAACCCATATAGATAAAATACAAAGAATCAACACTATAAATGCCCCAACAGATATACCAATCAAAACCCAAAGTTTTAGACCCAAAAATGATGTCTTCTTTGATAATTCAGCATTTAAGGCACCTTCAGATGACATATCTTATCTTCTGGGTTTTAACAGTCAAAATTGTATGTAGTCTCTTGCGGACAAAAGTTTAATGCATTCCTCTCTGCATACCACAAACATGTCATGTAACACCAGACATATCAAAATGAGCAACATGTTTAATAATTTTCAAAGTCCATAGATGCATTTTTTATCAAATTTTATGCAGAATAGGCTAGATGTGATTGACATTTCATCCATGCTCATCAAAACCATCCTTACACTCAAATCGGAAGACCCAAAAAGATAATAAATTCCATAAGATTCTTAGCTTAATCTGCACCCACTTAAAAGAACCAAAAAGATGAAAAAGAAAAGGATAAAACATAGCAGGAGAATCTGATACCACATGTAATGAAGTTTATGACATTTTTAACAGTTTCTTGAGTTAAAAAAAAAACTACTTTTTTTATGCATTTAACAAATCAAGAAAAACCATTCTTTAAACAAGGCAGACCAATAAATATTTCACAATTAACTCAACATTCCATGATAAAAATACGCCCCAAAAAAGAACTCCATTTCTATTGAAAAATGAATAAACTTGTGAAAAAGCATCACTTGTGATCCAAGTAAGAGACAGAAAAAGTAATTCAAAAAGAGAAAGCATTTACCTTGATCTTCTTCCTTGAGCATTCACAGAAGCAAAGAAAAAGCCTTTTATTTTAGCATCCAAGAGGGACTCTCAATGAGCAAAAGATAAGAAGCCAATGCAGAACAAAACCCAAAGGCCAGAAAAGAGGTATAGCTGCAATTGCAAAGAGGAGTAGTTTACAAGTAGAAGCCTTTTCTTTTTTCTTTTCTTTTTTTTTTTCTGTTGTGGTCTTCCAAGTGGGCCAAAACAAGAATTCAGCTAATGATAAAAAGAAATGGGCAAGAAAACGCCAGACAAAAATCTAATCTTTCAAGCAAAAATGGAGAGAGAGAGAGAGAGAAAGAGAACGATAGAAGCTTACATATATAAGCAAAAAAAAAAAAAAAAGAAAAGGGAAGAGGTGGGTAAAATGGTTGGTGGGTCTTTGGGTGTTTGAGAGAAAGCTGGAAAGGAAGCTTAGTTTGCAATGGAGGAAACGAGAGAGAGAGAGAGAGAGAGAGAGACAGAAAGAAAATAGTAAAGGAAAAGCAAAAATGAGGTGAACAAGGAAGGTGGGCATTTATAACTGCGTAAAGAAAAAAAAAATTCCACTGAAAGCATATAACAACACACACAAAAGTTTATGTTAAAGAAAGTTAAAGAAAAAGAGGGAAATTGAGGAATGGGAAGAAAATCATTCGAAAAGAAGAAGAAGAGTCAACCCAAATCCAACTGGAGGAAAGTGACACAGGAAAACTATTCCTAAAAATAAAAATCTAAGCCTACCTTGATCCCTACTTACCAAATTGTCCTTCTATCTCCCATTCATTTAATTCTTTAAAAATTTCATTTTCCAGTAATTAGCATATCTTCATCTGTCATGAAAATGGCTTTTTAGGGTATGATTCAACCCTTCCATCCATCGACAACTCCACTGTACTTGTCATTGTTTTCTTCTTTGACATTTCATTTGAAGTTAATTACCCATAAGGCTGATTTACCTACACACATATATATATATATATATATGTATATGTTTATTAATAAATAAATGAAATAAGTGCCATTTGAACACAAAAACAAAAGATATTTTTATTTAGATTGCAAGAGTAGTCACCATCTTCAACCATTCAACTAATACATCTCACTGAGATTTGGTAGGAACCCAACTTTCCAATGGGAAACAGAAAAAGATAACATTTATTGGTTCTACATTGGGGCCATTTAATTCAACTTTATTTATAACTATCTAAACCTTTGCCAACAAATCCAAGCAAGTTTCAACACTGTATGCTTCAGGCTTTCCATTTCCATTCTTGCTCTCTTTCGAGAACCAAACGTTGTTGAATGCATATATATTAAAAAAACAAATGAAGGGAGAAAAAGCATCCTCGGTTCTTTGCTCCTTGCTAATGAATTCAATTTCTTTCTTTAGTAATAATCATGAATTTGTTTTGTAGTACTTTGATAGAGAAAAACCTTAAAATATGTAATACTTTTGACTTTTTTACTATCTGTGGGTAATAAAATTTAAATTTTAGCGCATTATCAAAAATATCAATTAATTGATTTTATATAGATATTCACTAGTATTGATCTAATAATATAAAATTTAGATATTTTATATTTTAGATTTAAAATGTATTCAAATACATATGAGATCCCATGTAGAATAAATTTGGAATTGGAAAATAAATTTGGTTGGTTGATTGATTGACAGAAAAGTTAGCTATAAGAGTTTGATTGTATTTATCAAAGACACATGGTGCATTGAATTCAACACCCTTTCTATCATCAAAGAAAACCTAGAATAAAGGGCATGGAAATATGAAATTTCTCCAATAGGTCCAAATTATTTGTTTTAGTACTGCAGGTCGAAATTATTCCTATCTTATCCAAAACTATAAATAAACTCTAATCTCTAATTAAACCTGACAAGCATTAACAGTCATACTAGTAAGTATTAATATTTGCATTGCATAAAGTTGGTTGATATACTTAAGAAGCCCAGTTGTGTTGAATATAAATAAAACAATCGTCAGACTTTTGACCAGCCAATATGAAGGATTTCTTTGGGGTTTTTAAATGATTTGTCTTTTTGGCAACGGTTCTCAAGGGTAATCATGTCATTTCAAAGCGATCGAACCTAAATTCGCAATGTTCTGAGATTAGATAAATTAATAATTTCCAAAGGGAACAAGTGTGCCTCTCCTGGGGATATAATCATGGGGTTTAGGGAGAAGAGAAAGGCCCCCAACGGGGGAAGTTGTGGCTTCTGACAGCCTTTGATCTCAAGCATGACTTTTCAGTAAAGTATTTGTCTTCAATTTCTCTTTCAGATTTACTTTAAAATTATATAAATTTTTTTATATAATGGTAATAATAACTTTGTGTTTGTATTATTGTTTTTCTTAGGGGCAAAAAGTTGCAGCCAATGAGACATGCATTTGTGGGGCCCGGTTGAGAGATCTGTGAACCCTAGCATTGACTGGCAGCATCCAAACCACGATAAGTATTAACCCTAGCATTAACTCAGCTTGTTTTAACAAATCTAGAATTGTTCAGATCATATGGGTTTCATGTGGTTTTTAGTGTTTAGGAGATCAGAGACCTCACGCCCATTGCAGCTGAACTGCCACTCTTTTTTCTTCTCCTTTTCAGTCTCATCTTGTTTTAATTAATTAATTAATTAATCTGCGTCAGAAAAAATATAAAAATTAATGAAGGAAATTATAGTGCCAACTAGTTAGACCAGTCATCATGGTGGCACAAAATAATAATGCGGGAGGAATGTGTCCATGCTTCGCCACACAACACAGAGGGTAGGAATGTAGCCATGGCCATGAGAAATGGGAATAGATGTACTTAATTCTTTCCTTGAAGTAATGAATGAGACAGATACACACATATTCATACATTTTTTAACTGCTAAACTTTGTCTTCGAGAGGGGTCCGTTGTACCAAGCATAGAAAAAAATACTAAAAAGGCTGGGTCCCGAATGAATTATTTAATATCAAATAATAACTATATTTTTTTATTTTTTAATTTTAAATTATATTTTATTATTTTAATAATAAAATGTATGTACCCAAACTTGGCTTTAAAAAAAAAAATAAAGCCCCAACCTGAACCTACTTAAAGGACAATCATGTGCGACCAGTTGAGCGAAACACACACACACACAAACATACATTCATGAAGTGAGAATAAAAGCTAAAACATATTTTCATACGATTATATGAAATCCAAATTATTATAAACTTCTGCAAAGGACACCACATTATTAAATAACAAATTTCTTATTGAAAATAGTAGTAACTGCTCTCCTCCCCCCCCACAAAAAGAAAAAAAAGATAAAATAATACATCAACTATTCTAACACGTACCAATTAAGATCACTGGCTAGTCTTCTAGATGAGAATGTGACTACAGTCATGCTATATGCACTAGCTCTGTTAGTGTCTAAAATACATGTAATACTGCATAAGCCACCTCTAAAGGTTGTGAGCCATTGTGCAACAACAATAAAACCTGATGATGTCAGTTTCAACCTCTACAGTCTTACCTTGTGGTCAATTATATCTAGACTAGACTCATCCTTAATAAATTTAGGAAGGGCCATGTATCCAATCCTTCTGCAATGAAGATTTGAATATTTGAAGCAGCAGCGATGCTTCCCTCCTGCCTAGCTTTTTTATTCCATAGCCCTTATAGACACCAAGTTTAAGAGCTTCTCGTCCTTCTTCCACAGCTCTTTTTCTAACAGCTGTCAGTAAACCTGAACCTTGAGGACCAATGCCATCATCTAATTTTCCATTTTCTTCAAGTTTCTCATTGGCCATGTCACCAGGCTTTTCTACACATTGATGCTTGTCTTCCCCCTCAGTTTCAGCTCCATCAACATGAACATCTTCATGACCATCAGACTTGCTACCACCCCACCATTTGTTTGTAGTAATTGATAAGCCATCAGATGGGAATCCATACTTAAATTCATCTGATGTTGTCATCCCTGTCATCAAGCTTCGATGGCCAAAATTCAGGGCCTGCCCAGTTTGTATGTTTTTTGCTCCTTGTTGCTGCAAGTTAGGCAGTGCTGTGGCACCTTGTAATTTGGATAGTTCATTGTTTTGTGTTTGAGAACTGCTGCATACAGAACCATGAAATTGGAAACTTATTAAAACAAGGATAAGGATTATCTGGCAGGAAAGTCTCAAATGGTCAACAATCTGAAAAACTGACATGCCAGTGGGAGAGGAACAGTGTGGTTCAACAGCAGTAATTATGTGCAAAGAAGCATCGACAAGCATACATTTCTCATGAAAGAAAGTTTTATACAGTCTGAACGACTACAATACCAGTAAGTGAGGAAAGGAGTTGAAGAGAAATAATCAAGTGCGAGGAAGCAATCAAGCAAGTCTATATGTGTTTTTGCAACAATGAATAGCCTTTGAACTTGTAATCTGTCATCTGTTTTGAAGCTGGGAGTGGTGGGCCATAGGACCAATCACTTCTTCAGTTCTTTTTGATATGGATAAAAGAAAGAGTTGAAGGGCTTAAATACCATTAACTTTAACCTCTCTCATATAAGTGGGACTCTAAATAGTGATACAAGTCAAAACTTGCTCTATTCTTCTCTTTTTGTTCTTTGTGACTAAGAAAAGGAAACTCACATACACACCCCCATCCCAAGTGACTTCCAAAGTCTAACAGAGAGATGATGTGATGAGATACTGGTACAACGATCTCATTTTTGTTAACTTTAATCTACATCATTAAGAGAAACCTAGTGAGAGTTTTAAGGAAAGACAAGCATGATATCAGCAATTAATCAAACATATGACTAACAGAAATAATGTGCTCGAACTCTTCTTTTTGCTTAACTACCCACAGAGGAAAAGAAAAAAAATCTGTTACAAGAGTAACACAAGAATCTATTTATAGAAGTTTGGAGAGGCTTGATTATGTGTCCACAAAGCACTAAGATGGAGCTCAGCTATACTATAAGTATGAAGAACACATTTGACAAACTAATGGATTGGTCCTTGTTTACACTAGATAAGGTCCATGAATTAGTTTTTCTTTTCTTAAAAGAGAAAAGAAGAAGAGAAAGCTCATAACTTAAAAAGTTCAAACTTGATTTTTCCTTTTATGTTGCATGTTTTTCTACTCCTTGCTAGTATATGATCTACCTTTTTCTTATGAGAAGATATATCAACATGAATTTTATTTAGCATTATCTTCAATGGTTTTTATTATTCAATTGAATAGATTTTCCTACTGTAAAGCATATGAACGCAACTCATGGTGATTTATGTGTGCACCAAAGTAAGAGAAGCATAAAACACACAATAATAATCAACATGAATCAACAAAAACACCAATTTGGCCACCAAAAAGTAGTCAGACCCATTAATACAAAAGCATCCAAGTAATCATGATGACATCAAATTGTACAGATCTTGCTACGTCATACCCCTGCCGATGAACCTTTGACAGCTCTGTGAGTTCCTTTCTTTTTTCTCTAGCTGCATGCCTCTTAATTTCTTCAATGCTCTTCCCAGCTAAAAACTAAACCACATTTCAAAATTACATTATACATAGAATAGAACATTGAATAAAAGAGAAATGCCAAAATGAAAAAATTAAAATCTTTCCCAGGAAAGAAAAAAAAACATAAAAAAAAAACCATATCTATATAACAGCATTAACATGTGAATTGTAAAGCAGGCAGAAAACAAACATGGGTATCGAACCAAATTGGTTAAATGTTATTAGTTTTTAAAATGTAAATGGGTAAAGCCTTGAAATTTCCTTTTATCTACTAACAAGCTAAATTACCCAGTATCCATCAGAGCTTATGACAGTTTTCAACCAAAACTATCCAGTATCCATCAGAGCTTATGACAGTTTTCAACCATTTATCTAACTTTAAATCATACTAGAAGAAAAAAAGGTAAGATAATGCGCTGAAGAAAGGGGTTACCTTCCGATGAGGCCATCTGTCAAGACCATTTTCACGGCAGATTTTCTTGAGAGCACTGGCGCATACACCTGAGGATCGAGAAACAATCATAACCAAAAACCCCAAAAGAATTCTTCAATAAATATACCTTAGAAAAAGAAGACAGAAAAAAAAAACTTACCAAAAGTGGAAGCAGCGTCGTAGAGAGGAAGAGAGAAGAAGTCGGCAATGTCATCGAAGGAGAGAGATTGAGCAGCTGCTGAGCTTGAATTCTGTTGCTGTAAGCTCATCATTTGATCTACTCTAATCCAATCTTAATCTCACCTTTTTCTTAAAAAAAAAGGAAAAAAAAGAGGCTAAAATAATATAAGGGAAAGGTTAAATTTTGGGGAACAAAAATTCTAACAGGTTTCATCTTTTTCTTCTAGGCTCTCGGCTCTTGCTGTGGCTGTCCCAGTCGACTCTTGCCTCTTTGGGTTCATGCCATGGTTAATTCAATAGGGTTGGGCCAATTAGCGGATGGATTGGACAACTTTAACCCTTAATGACATCAAACCAGTTGGGCCCTATTTGAGGCACTGCTCTTTCTGGTATATAAAATTAAAAAAAAAAGAGAAAAAATAAAACTTTATGATATCACTGTCCTCAAATATAAAAAATAATTTTTTGGGATTAGGTCCAAAATTATTATCTAATTAATATGATTAATCAAAAAATTTACCACTCATGGATGCATTTTAACTTAATAAAAAATGATAAAAAATTAACAGTAACTGAATATCTATGGTAAATATAAAATTGACCTAACCTCTGTGAAAATTCCATACCCATATCTGGACCTTTTTAAGTATGATTTTTTATTAATATAATTATTAAATTTCATTATTGTATTTATATTTATGAATTTCAAATTTCAAGTTGATCCAAAATATTTAACTGTTTGTTAAAAAAAAATATAATTTTTAATCATTAAATATAATAGTACTTGAATCAAATCTGATTCCTCTATAGATTTATGTGTATATATATATATATATATATATATAAGGATTTCTATTATGAGGGGCATCATTACATCTCAGAAATCTTGACTATAAATTATAATAAATAATTAAAGTAAAATAACTCTCATCTTATTAACTCTTAATCATAAGTTCACATGAGTCTTATTAATTTTTGAATAGACAAAATTCACAAGTATAAGCACCATTAATAAAAAATATAAAAAACTTAAAATCAATTTAACAAAACCTTAAAATCAATTCACAAAACTCTATATCCGATTCAACAAAATTTTAAAATCAATTCAACAAACCCTAAAATTGATTGAACAAAATCCCAAAATCAATTCCACAAACCCTAAAACTTGCTCACAAAACTCTAAAATCGATTCATGAAATCTTCTGTGAGGGGTGCCTGTATGATCACGGAGGAAACTCTTGAATGCCTAAACAATGGTGCCTGAGCTTATACTATTTTCACTTGAGACTTTGGGATAAAGCTTTGAGTTATTCTGCTTTTATCTCGTAAAGTGATATTTCAAATTATACGATAAAATTATCTATGGTCAATTAGTAGGCCTCGATCAACTCCAGGAAGCTCAGCAAGCAAAATCCTCTTTTAAATCTCTTGAAGTGGGATCCATTTTATGAGCCTTCTCATTTGCAAATGGGAAACAACGTGATTCACTCATAATACAGGAAAATTATGACATAAAGGAATCGTCTTTAGACAAAACAAAAAGAAAAGAAAAACAATTAATATAGCAAGGGTATGAAAAAGACAAGGACAAAAAACAACAAAAAAATAAAATAAAATAAAATACATAACCAATTTGAGCTAACTTTTAATATATGTAGACGTGGACATCTCCCTATTTTTGTCTTATCAACACTAAGTAGAGAAACATAATCCATTTTAATGTAGAGAAATTGAGCATCATATTAAAACCTGAATTGGAATAGCCTGGGAAATGGTGAGGGAAGGGGAGTTTGTTCATTAACTCCGACATTAGCTTTGCCATGCAATGCACCGCATATAATTGCCCATCCCAATTCCTATTTGGTGGAACTGGAAATAAAATATATTTTGATTGAGAAATTCAATTTAAAGCATGCCTCCAATCCTAATATTTGTCCATGCATGAGTCTTACTTCACAGATAACGATTGTAATTCTTTTTTTTTTTAAATTAAAGAACTAATATTGTAAAGAGTACGCAATAAACAGGTCAGAAGAATTGCTAAAACTGAATGGAGCTTACAAAAATAGTATGGCTGATTCAGTCAGCACAAAGAATTCAAGCATACTTTAGTGGAGATGTGATGTCTTTCTCTTTCCTTCCTGCAAGGATCATAGAAATCTGGAGGCCTCTGCTGAATGCTTGGTTGAAGAGCAGTCGTGTTTGGAACTCCGACACAAATGGGAACCATGACAAGATAGCTATGGGCATGAACAATATCAGACCCATAATATACTCGTATGCCCTTGCCAGCTCCTTTATCGACTCCCAGAATCCTAAACCTTTCAACACTGACCGCAGTGCTTGTCCAATCTATGGATGGCACAACACAAAAAGAGAAAACGCGGGTTTAATGAGATTGCTGCACGTAATCAGCGACATATGCTGTACTTCAAGGACAATAATGTTACAAAAGAGTAAGAAACAAGAATTAGTCTACTAAATAATCTTTATAATTCTGAAGACAATCTTCAAAAACAAAATAATAAATAAGGTTATGCATCAGTAGTTTTCTTCACCGTATCAACCAGCTAGAATGAAGGAACTTACAAACAGGATGACTGGGGATTCCAACTCTGGCTTGAAAATATAAGGTACAGGCCATACTCAAGTGGAAAAAATTTACAAACTTGGGAATCATTGTGAGAAAAGTTGCAAAAAGGTAGATGGATCAGCGGTAGAAAACATATTTCAGCTAGAATATTTACAACAATTAAGCAAACAGAAATCCTAGTAGTAATTAAGGCATTAGCTTCAATTCTTCTTCATGAGAGATGCTCGAAGCTTGTAGTGTTGCTGTGATTTATACTAGTGAGCAATTTAATGAATTTTTAATTAGTTTTTAACTTATAATGGTTGCCACCCACTGCCAAATTAAGAGAATAAGATGTATGCAACATTTAAATTGTGCAGCTGCTAGTATGATGTCATATAATGTATAAAAAGTTGTATTATAATTTCTGAAGTTTAAACTTACAAGAAGAAGTGCCCATCCAGTGGGCAAGAAGGCAAGGATGGCAGCAAATACATCCGAGATTGTGAGGCCACATACTACAAATAGGACAGTCATGACTGACATGAAACCGAGGAATAGAAGTGCCTTCAGAATCCTGAACATGAGCTGAAAGTCGGTACCAAATCTTCGCCTACCCATGGATACCATCTGAGAACATGGGGAACACATAAGCAGGAAGGGTCAAAACCAAAATTAATATTTATGCTACTTAAAAAAAATTAGACAAATATGAATGCATGAGCAGCCAGTGGAGCATACTGCCAGTTCTTTAAACTTGAAGCTACTCTAGAAATGTCTCACTTAAATTGTTCATACCTTTAACACCAGAAGGACTGTTACCATAACTAGCCAAGAAAGTCCATAAACCTACGGGGATCAAGTTAGACAGTAGGAAGATGGAAATATGAACTAGTAAAATTAAAGAGAAAAATTTCCATAGAGAAAAGAACCATTCATAGGCAAAAGCAAATGGTATATAATTGAAGTTAGAAAATTATACCAGTAAGCTCTTGCTGTGATGAGCTATATCAAGGTGGTAGACAATCCCATACTGGAAAATGAAGAAGCGAAATGCCAGGATAATCTCAAGCACCCTTCCCCTAATAGTAGTGAATTTAAGGTGTAGTTGTTCTTCTTCCCACCATGATTCCCAACTTTTATCAGGGTCTATACCAATACCACCGCGATTTCCCATCCACCTCTTCCAATCTGTCCAGTCATCCACGGTTTTTTGCCAGTCAAAACCAGATGGATTAAACACAAAAGGGGCAAACAACCAGGATCCAACCAGGAACCACATGGAGAATGTGATGAACAAATAAAGACTTGAACTGCGATAGGATTGCCCATAAACTTCATACAGGACCAATAGTATGAGCAGCTCCAACCCTTTTACGAAATGACTTCTGGAGTACAGCCTGTAGTTATCTGCAAACTTTGCATGAAACACAACAAACCCACGGCCGGTAGCTCGATATTTAGAACCACCATGCAAGATAGTTCTTCCAAAATAATGCGCTTTTGTACCAAGCTGAAAAGTAAAGAATACTGAGGCCAGCTGTAGCTGCATGATGATAAAGTCACCCAGAGCAGTACGAAAACCTTTTTCCAGGCCAATTTCCATAACCATGGGCAGGACCAGCAACAAGCCCAACTGGAAGACTGACTGTGTAGCCAAAGCTTCTTCGAGGGCCTTGCTCTGATGTACAGTTGCATTCTCAAGAATCTCTTTTTCCAAACCACTCATAACCATATATAAACGTCCATATAAGAACACATATACTGTAAGGACCGTAACCTGAATTGAAATAATGCCCAAATCAAGCTGTAAGTAGTTAACCCAAATTATTTAAGAAACAATCTTTCATACTTGTAACCTGATTAGACTATATAAAATTCTTAGAAAGCAACCTAGTCACCAAAAATTTGGAGCAGTCCACTTACATATCATCTGTGACAAGCATCTACCAGTATGTAGTATAGTTTCTAAGAACAAAATAACCAAAACAAGTTTCTCTAGTTAACATACCATGCTACTGAAATAGAAGCCCACAGTTGTGAAGTAGAATGATAACATTCTATAGAAATCAAACCGACGCCCAAGCCGATAAACATCCCGGCTAAGTGTCTGCTCTCCATTTCCATTGGCAACCTTTGCCTCAAAAGCAGATATCTGATTCATTCCAACATCACGCCCTTTTCCGACTTGGATGTATTCATGATGTGTTACATAACCCCCACGCAAAGTAGAATTGAACCCTGAACAAGATAACACAATTAACAAGCAGACTATGGCTTCTGATTTAGAGTATTTGGCTGACTGAAGATTACCAGCAAATATATCCTCGCTTAAGTTAATAATTTTTGAAGCTTTGCTTATGCCACCTCTTGTTATATGGAAGATTCTGTCAAATATATCAGGATGACCATAATGGAACCTTACCCTGGAAAGGTAAAAAGAAACATTTAAGAGAAACTCAGGTGATAATGCAACATAAATAAGACAGCTCAACTAAAATCTTGCAAGGCCATAAACTTTGGACTTTCCACAATCATGGTTATGATATATGATTGGACTCAACATATACTCATAAAAATTGTAAGAAATTGGGCTGAAGGCCAAATTTACCTTTCTGCTAGGGTGATGGATCAAATTTACCACTAATCTATAAACCGGTGTAAGTTTATCATTGTACTTTCTAATTTGGTTGCCAAATGGTCAGAAGTTCGAATATTCAAACAATCCTTTATTTTCTCATGGAATATTCTTTTACCATTAACTTTAGACCATTTTTTAACCAAATTAGAAAGTACAGTGGTAAAATTGCACCTGTTCAAAGATGAGTGGTAAGTTTGAACCATCACCCTAAGTAGAGAGCGAAATTTGAACCTTATCCCTAGAAATTTTATCCAATGAATATATTGAAAACATATGGATAAACTTCCAACTGCATTCATTTCTACCTTTTTCTTTACAATTTCTCATCTTCCCAAAAAGAATTTCATTGGTACTGAGCAGCTCCAAAGTCCTATGAGCCACTAAAAATATGAACAACAATAACAAGTGCCACTAATATATAGTCATTAAGCTTCACTGAAACTTAACAGCCTTATTATAATAATGAATGGTCATATTTTACACAGCAAACTTATTTACACATGTAAAGCCTGATGATGATGCCCAGATTAAGATAGGTTAAGCTGGATTTCTAACCAACACTAGAATTGAACAAGCTGTGCATAGTATTAACATTCCTAAGCTTTCATATCAAACTCTAGTCAAGTCAAGATAGAATTAGGATGTCACTGTTTTGAATTGCTATTAAACAAGAAGGATGATCAGGTTGGGTCAACTGTCCAGCAGAATTCATTTATTATGGGCAATAAGTATAAAGATTTTGCAGTAAATTCACTCCAATACTAGTTGAATCGATATGTTGACAAACCTTGAAAAGCAATGGCATTGTAGAGGAGAAAAGATATCATGTGATGAAAAAGAAATGGGAGAACAAATTCCTACTACTTCCTCATTAAGCTATTTTTCCCTAATTCAGTGTGTTCTCATACACAAAAGCAAAATTTTAATGCAGTAATGTCACAACCTAGGCATATCTTGGTGATTTAATCAGGTATAGGGCTTATCTGAGTATCATAAGTCTTGTGAATTGTCTTGATGTTGACATTATTCTTCATTTATCTATAAGTTGGTGTTCTGTTTGCATTTCTGATTTAAGGAGATAAACCAATATTCCATAAATCTATAAACAACTGTACACTTTTCATATACTAGGAGACTTTGCTAGTGGGTATTACTTATTTTCTGTTTCCTTTTCTCTTAATCTCATATGCTAATCTGCTCTTGATAATTCTTATTCTGAATCTTTGCCTACTTTTCTAATGACATATGCAGCTGGTTCATTTGTTTCTCAAAAAAGAACCCCCAAATTCTTTCAACAACTCTAACCACCTTTTGATCAGTCCAAAATTTACTAAATGAACTCTTAAGTCATATTGAGTATGTCCATCAGCAGAAAACTAGATGATTTGTTCTTTAATTCCAGCCAACAGATTGCCATCAGTTTTGTTGATAGCTCATCAATTTATTTCATTGACTATATTCCAAATTTGTAGGAGTTAGTTTAGGGATATTATTTCCTTTCTATTTGCCTCCTTTTGCTGGATTATTTCTTGATTTCCTGTTCCCTAATTTCCGGTAATTTACCAGATTCCAAGACCTAATTTAGATAGGTTTTCTAGTATATAATTAGCATCTAATAATTCCAATAGAGACATCAAAGAATTTTGTTTCATTCTCTGTTTTCATGGTATCAAAGCCTCAGCTCCTCTGACCAATATTATTGGCCAAAGCAGCCATGGCAGATGTAACTCTAGAAGGTACCTCAAAGTTGTCATCTGAAGCTTCTAGAAATATGTCTTCATCTGTGATTCCTACTGTCGGGGAAACCCATTCTCTCCAAATAACCCAACACAAACTCAATGGGGCCAATTTCCTTGAACAGTCTCAATCGGTTATGCTAGTAACATGAGGCAAAGGAAAACTCGGTTACTTAACGGGTACAAAGGCAACACCAAAGGAAGGAGCAGCAGGTCATTCAGCTTGGGCGTAAGAGAATTCCATGGTTATGGCATGGTTTATTAATTCCATGAAACCTAAGAATGGCCGTATGTATTTATTCTACAAGACGACAAAGGAGATATGGGATATGGTGCATGAAATGTACTCAAATCTGGAAACTCAGCACAATGTTTTGAGGTTACATCTGCCCTAAGAAATACAAAACAAGGTAATCTTTCAATGACTGAGTATTTCAATACTTTGACTAAGTTATGGCAGGAGATGGATATGTTTTATGAAACAAATTGGCATTGTCTTGAGGACAACTTAAAGTATAAGCAAATGCTTGAAAACGAATGAGTATTTGATTTTCTTCATGGTTTAAGTACGGAGTTAGATGAGATATGAGGTCGACTTTTAGGGACAAACCTTTTTCAAACATTAGAGGCATGTGCAAAGGTGAGAAGGGAAGAAAGCAGGAAACGTGTTATGTTAAGAGTGACCACAGAGGTTGTTTCAGATAACTTGTCCCAAAGTTCTGCTCTTGTTTCAAAAAAACATGAACTTGCCAATTCTGGTGATCAGCATGAGAATTGGAAAAATGATAAAGCCTGGTGTGATCATTGCCAACGTCCATATTATACTAGAGAAACTTGCTGGAAGATACATGGAAACCAGCAAATTGGAAGGAACGTAAACAAGGTGAACAAAGCAGAGATTTTCAAGTTGTTGTAGAGGAAAACAAGGCTGGAGGATTAGTTTTTAGCAAGGAACAGCTTGAACAACTACAAGTCCTTCTTGCCCAACACCAAACTGGTGCACAAGTTCCAACTTCAAATTGTTCTATAGCCCAGAAAGGTAGTTATCCCTCTGCCTTGAGTGCAAATTCTGAATCTAATGGCCCTTAGATTATGGATTCAAGGGCTTCGAATCATATGACTGGATGCCATAGGTCTTTATCTACCTATGCCCCATGCCTGGGAAATATCAAAATAAGTGTTGCTTATGGTGCTTTATCATCTGTTGCTGGAAAAGGATCTGTAAATTTGGTTCATATGACACTAAAATCTGTACTTCATGTCCCAAATTTAAAATGTAATCTAGTGTCTATTAGCAAATTGACAAATGATTTGAATTGTGTGGCTAAGTTTTATCCATCATTTGGTGAGTTTCAAGATTTACTATCAAGGAGGACGATTGGCAATCTTAAGATGCGTGACGAGCTGTGCTACCTTGAAGATAATGGACAAGTGAATAAACAAGCTCTAGCTCTAAGTGGTGAATTGACTCCTGTTTCCAGTAAGGTTATGTTATGGCATAATAGGTTAGATCATCCTAGTTTTCCATATCTGAGAGCTTGTTTCTTTCTCTGTTCAAGAATAAAGACATCAATTCTTTTCACTGTGAAACTTGTATATTTGCCAAACATACCCGTAATTCTTATCCAAATCAACCATACAAGTCATCTAAATCTTTTTCATAGATCCATATTGATATTTGGGGTCCTTCAAGGGTAAATAATATTTCGTGAACCAAATGGTTCATAACCTTTATTGATGACCATTCAAGAGCATGTTGGGTTTATCTTCTCAAAGAAAAATCAGATGCAGACACCATTTTCCAACATTCCATAAAATGATCCAAACTAATTTGATGCATCAATTCAAATTCTTCGAACAGATAATGGTTGAGAATATTTTAATTCAATTCTTGGCAATTACTTTACAGAAAATGGAATTTTCGCCCAAAGTTCTTGTATCAAAACCCACAGCAAAATGGTATTGCTGAACGTAAAAATCGCCATCCGTTGGAGACTGCACAGGCATTTTTGTTCACAACTCATGTTCTTAAACAATTTTAGGGTGAGGCAGTCTTAACTGCATCATACTGATAAACAGACTTCCATCCCAAGTCCTCCGATTTAAAACTCCTTTAAGTATCTTACTGGAAACCTATCCTCAAACTTGATTGTTCACCTCCTTGTCTCCAATAGGCTTTGGCTGCAGTTCCTTTGTACATAATACCAGTCCTACCCATGAAAAATTAGATCCTACAACTATAAGTGTATCTTTGTTGGATATTCTCCGAGTCAAAAAGGGTAAAAATGCTACTGTCTAACCACAAAAGAAATGTTTGTTTGCTTAGATATCACTTTCCTTGAATATCAACCTTTCTACCCAAATCCTACTCTTTAGGGGGAGATACTAGGAGAAGAGAAGCTTTGGGATTGTCTTATTCCTCTTCTTGTAGTTGCTAACATGCCTGAAACGCCACCAGGAAATAAAAATCCTCCAATTATGGCATTAACAGATTTTGGCTTGGAAACAAGGGAAGATCCAAATGATCTTAGTCAACAACAATCAGAGGTTTGTGTTTATTCACAAAGAAACAAAAAGCCTCAAGTGCAACCCTTCACTCATCAACCATGTTTGCAAGAGCCCAATCTACAGGTAAATGCTGAAACTGATATTATTGCTGCTAGTGATTCTTCCAATTTGTCTCAAGTGGATACTCAACCTAATGAGTTGGACATTCCAATAGTTCTCAGGAAAAGGGTTAGATCATGCACCCAACATCCTATTTCTAATTACTTATCTTACCGCCGATTGTCACAAGCATTCCACTTTGACAGCAAAGGTTGAAAGGGATGAGATTCCGAAAAATATTCAAGAAGCTTTTGAAAAACCAGAATGGAGGGCTGCTGTACATGAAGAAATGAGAGCCTTAAAAAGGAATGAAATTTGGGATGTAGTGGAGTTACCTGAGGGTAAGAGTTCCGTAGGGTGTAAATGGGTGTTTACCATTAAGTATAACTCAAATGGTGAAATAGAGAGACACAAGGCTCGTCTAGTTGCCAAAGGATTCATTGAAGTTTCTGGGGTGGATTACACAGAAACATTTGCTGCAGTTCCAAAGTTAAACACTAAGGGTGCTACTATCACCAATAGCTAATCTTGATTGGGCACTACATCAAATGGATGTCAAAAATGCCTTTCTAAATGGAAAGCTTGATGAGGAGGTTTACATGGATTTGCCTCCAGGTTTTGAAAGGGAAATTGGTAATAGAAAAGTATGTAGATTGAAGAAGTCACTATATGGATTAAAACAATCACCAAGAGCTTGGTTTGACCATTTTGCAAAGACTATAAAAAGGTATGGTTACCAACAAGGACAAACTGATCATACTCTTTTTTTCAAGCATTCATAAGATGGAAAGAAAACTATCATGATTGTGTATGTGGATGATGTTATTTTAACCGGAGATGACCCAGAAGAAATGGAGAGGCTTAAGAAAACTCTTAGGAGTGAATTTGAAATCAAAGACCTTGGGCAACTAAGATATTTCTTAGGGATGGAAAGGGCAAGAAGCAAGAAAGGTATTATTATCTCTCAAAGAAAATATGCATTAGATCTTTTGAAAGAGACAGCGATGCTTGGTTGCAAGCCAGTTGAAACACCCATAGTTATGAACATGAAGCTTGGAAGAACAAGGAATGGAATTCCAGTAGATAGGGGGAGACATCAACATCTATTGGGAAGATTGATTTACTTATCTCACACAAGACCAGATGTTGCATTTGCTGTAAGTGTAGTGAGCCAGTATATGTATTCTCCGAGTGAAGAACATCTTGAGGCAGTCAACCAAATCTTGCTGTATCTAAAATCTACACCCAGTAAAGGCTTGTCCTTCAATAAAAATGAGCTGAGAAGTGTGGAGGCATCCACTGATGCAGATTGGGCAGGTTCAGTTGAGGATGGGAGGTCTACATCTGGTTATTGTACAAAGGTTTGGCGGAACCTAGTTACTTGAGAAGCAAGAAGCAACCAGTTGTAGCTCGCAGCAGTGCAGAAGCAGAATTTAGAGCCCTTGCACAAGAAACCTGTGAGCTGATTTGGTTAATGAGGCTAATGGAAGAACTGAAAGTGTCTAGTATGGGACCTATGAAGCTATAGTGTGACAATAAAGCTGCAATAAGTATTGCACATAATCCGGTTCATGATGACCGAACAACGCATGTGGAGATAGATCGACATTTTATCAAAGAAAAAATAGAAGATGGGGTAATTTGCATGACCTATGTGCCTACCAAACAACAAATAGCTGATGTTCTAGCAAAAGGGCTGCCTAGACCGAGTTTTGAAGTGCTAGTACAGAAGCTCGGAATGACCAACATTTATTCACCAGCTTGAGGGGGAGTGTTGACAGCTCATCAATTTATTTTATTGACTATATTCCAGATTTGTAGGAGTTAGTTTAGGGATATTATTTCCTTTCTCTATTTTCCTCCTTTTGCTGGATTATTTCCTGATTTCTTGTTCCCTAATTTCTGGTAATTTACCAAATTCCGAGACCTAATTTAGATAGGTTTTCTTGTATATAATTAGCACCTAGTAATTCCAATAGAGACATCAGAGAATTTTGCTTCATTCTCTGTTTTCAAAATTCAATCAACTTAAACCGTTTTTCATTTATTATCCTATAACCTTTCTCTACTTTTAACCCTAAAAGACTCCTATGAAAGGGTTTAAATCTTGTTGGTAACCCAACACCAACCTGACTCTCCACAGTTCTCATTTAAAGTTCGTTCACAGTTCTATTTTATGGAGTTGTGCCAGAATTGAGATGAGTAGGGTCTTGGAAATTTCAAGAACCAGATCATGATAGAATCAAGATTATTAAGTCATGTCTGAAACTGACCTAACCCATCCAACTGGACCCAACTTGCACCCCTCACTAGACAGGTAGGTAGATTCTTCATCAACTCCTCTCTCTCTCTCTCTCTCTCTCTTTCAGACATTAGGCTCCTCTATTGTACTATAGTAGAGTCAAATATGGATGTCAATCACATGTAACATCGCATAATATTCAAGGGTTTAAGACAGAAAGTTTAGGCTTACCTCAGAGGATTTGCTAAAATCCGTTGCCCAATAGTTACAAAACTAGTCTCTTGATTGGACATGAACCAAGCTAGTGAAGAAACACTGTCAAATAAATAACAATATACATTACTACTATCAAATTGTTCAGTGTAATGTCTTGTCCCATTTTCACTAGCTTAATCTCAGCTATTATGCCCCAAAAAATCAAATTGAATTCTTTGAGATATTGGTAAACTCACCTTCCAGTAAATATATGCTCCCTTAGACCTAATATTGACGGCTTTCTCTGTTTACGGCGAGTTTTCAGAAATTCCTCCAAAACATTTCTCATTTTGTATGCCTCTTCAAAGTAATTATCCTGAAAACAAAGCTGATTATTTGTAAATGCATCTTTCGAATAGGTAAAACAAAAGGCTAATTCCTTCAAAATATTTCCCATTGTCAAGCCTCTTCAAAGTACTTCTCCTCCACAGAAAACATAGAAGAACTTTTGCAATGCATCTTTGAAATAGGTAAAAGAAAAGGCTACCTGATTCATGTCTATGGTCTGAAGGGCTTCTCCACGAGTAAAAATAATTGCATGATTTTGATTTTCAGGCTTGCCTTCACCGATATCTGTTGGGGGACCTGGTAGCCTGATGCGGTATATTTCCTAGCAATAACATCATTTTGCTATTCATGAATAAAAAAAAAAAAGAAAAGAAATTGATTGTAAAATTTTGAAAGTTTAAGAAGTTTTCACAAATAAGAATACAGGGAGTAATTTTAGCAGTTCGCACAAACAAATACAGTGCTAATTCAGACTAAAACCCGACATTTCTTCCTCTCCTTCCACATCAATAATTACCAATAGCGAAATGGCCACTCTTCAGCATCTCTAGTACCCTATTTCAACTACATCCCCATCTTATGTTTGGCTTGAAATACTAGCATTAAAAGGATGAGCAGGATAAAAAATTGTCCTTGTTCATATGGTTTAGAATGTACTCCATACCTTAGAAGAAGAAGAAGAATGAGACAAGCATCGGCATGATGGACATGTATGAACTGGACAAATCACTCATCTAAATATAAGCAAATTACATACTTAAACTTTCATCAGATGTGTGACATTAGAGTGGCTAGTACAGACATCAAGCTATATAAAATATGCACAGAAAATGTCTGTTAAAAGTAAATGTAGGGCTAGCAATTTGTTAGACAATCTAATAACAATGGGCATACCCCAGTTAATTTGAAGGGTTTAGATTTAACATAATTGTATTCATGTCATAATCATAATCATATCATATGTTTGTGTATAATGTAAGTTGACCAGCTTAAGCCAAAAGTGACATGCACTGAATCCTTTAATTAACCATGTAAATATGTTATCTGTTTAACACAAACTCAATGCATCTAACACATTTAAACCCTTTTCTAAAAATTATTAGCACTTAAAATTAATGTTTTTTATTGATTAACTGTACTTCAATATATTAATCATGTCATGTTGCACCTAAATGTTGATATGTCTTATTAAATTAAACAGATTATTGTCTATGTTTTCATATCACATTTTCAGTGTTTGTGTCAGCTATTCCTTTTGCAATAAGCTGACATTGAAAACAACATAATTAGGATACGATAAAAAGAATTTTTACACTTAACTACAGTTCGAAGAACTACCACTTCTTGTCAAAGGAAAAGACTCGACCTTTTGTGCACAGTTTGGAAAAGTTATTTGTATAATGGGTTGGGACAAAATAGATGCTCTATATTGTCAGTTAATTTGATATTAAACAAGTTCTGTTTCATACCTCGTCCAATTTTTCACCTCCCTTGACAAGAACAGAATAATAAACCTTCTGAGATCTTTCATTCACTGTCTCCTCTCTTTCATCGATATAAGCAACACGCAGAGATGGATACCTTTGCAGTTTCCACATATATAAAGATGAAATCAAACTCTATTCTATGTGCCGAACTTTGAGATTGAAATAGTTAACACTAACTTACGTTAACATGAGATTTAGAATGTTAAGGTAACAACTCCTATCTCGTGAGTCAGCAGATTTTTTCTGAGTGCCATAGAGCTGACAGGAAACTACATAGGTGAACTTCATATCGGCCAGTGCTTGCGCATGCTCTCTATAATATCCCCGATCCTCAATGGCCTGGAAGCCTTCCAAAATTGCTACAAGGGAACAAGTGAACACTTCATCAGGCTAGTTTCATCACACCAGCTTTTAAAGGGAATTGGAATGATACATAGGATATATATATATATACACACACATATATGTATACATGTATGTATATGTGTACATGTATGTACATAATGTATACATATATGTATATATATATCTAAACAGAAACAACTAACCAGAAGCTCCAGAAAATTCTAGAAGGAATTGGAGTTCCAGAGCCTGCCTGTAGTACATCATCCCTCTCACTGGCAGAAAGAGAATGGCATAGCTCAAGTGAGAATCTATACAGTTAAAGCTACTAAAAGATAAAGTGATATGTTTGATGTTTCTAGACCTGTTCTGGAGAGTGTCTGCCCTCTATAAGATACCCACTTCCGAATTTCCTCTTTCATATGAGCCTCCTCATTCTCATCTTTGATTCCAACATTATTCTGTTTCATACGCTCTAGAAAATTGTTCCATTCATCTGGCTTGCAGTCGCCAATATCCAGTTAGTCATATGTTTTACATACAGAAAAAGGCATAAAATAGCAAGAGATCACAACTCACCTGGATATATTTTCTGTAGGTAAAACAGAATTGAGATTCCATCCTCATTTTCCTTAGTGAGTTCTTCATCTGAATAAAGAACATCTTCTTTGTAGTATGGAGTCAAAACGCTGAACCAGAGAAGCAGTCTAAGTGAGCATATAGAGGCATCTATCTACATAATACTTTTAGAAGGCTGCCAAAGTGCTCTCATTCATGTGATATAGAATGCATAAGCACATTAACTGATCATGAAGATACTAAAGTAAAACAAAATCTTAAATGTAGTTTAAACAAGTTAAAATATTAGTTATGACCCACAATTAAAGCAACTAGCCACTGATAGTTCTGAAACTGGCTTTAAGTATATTACCATAATAAATCTTTAAAAGGAAAATTTCCCCTTTCTCAGTTCTTTTTCTTGCTAGCAAACAATAATATGTCACTAATTTGATGTCCTGCAATACCTCACCTAAAGGAAAGCATGTCACGAACTTTTGGGGCACTTGGCATATTCATAAACAAGGAGTTTGCAAAAAATGTGATGCGGCGCCGAGCCTCCAAATTTGGAGGCACATTTATAGCAGATTCTTTAACAGTCAAAAGCAAATAAAGCCTATTGGTCTGCAGAAAAACATATAAATAAATATATTACCAACCAGATATTTGTGTGAAAAATAGTTACACAATAAATAACCAATATGAGTCCATCTCAAATATACCTTCTCCCTCCAAGTTTTCTGCTGTATAAGACTAATATTTATCTTTTCAAACCTCTGCTCTTTCTTTTCAAGTTGACTGTGTCCATAAAGTGGGTGAGCTCTTTGAAGGATGCTACAAAGAAAACTTGTAGGTTAATTTTGCCACTTAAGTCTGACACAAATCAACTCCAAAAAAGTTTTTCATTTTCTGGCACTCACTCATTGCCTTTGACCATAACATCCTGCGTAATAATTTCCATGATATCCTGCAGGATATTGATTATCTGAGATCTGAATGTCTCAACATCTTCGATATCAGAAAGCTGCCAACATAAAGAGAGACATAGTGAGAGGTTGGTATTGGAAAGTACAATTTTATGGATAACCTTATAAATGCAGTGCCATAGAAAAGTTATGAAAATGTAAGGAAAGAATGTTACCAAGATCCTTAGAAACTTTTCCAACCTATTACTGAGTGAAGGCAGCCCACTCATCCGAAAGTTAGTCAAAAATATCTGCTGCTGTATGCTATTGTCCACTTCCTGAGAAATTGCTTCAACAGTCCTAAATGTAAAGTGAAAGCAAAGTGAAAAGAAATAATAAAACTTCTAATAGAGAAGAAGGAAGGGGATATTTTTTTCATTGCTAGACAAGGTCAAAAGCTCCCCTGATGCAATTTAAGATCATGTTCAGAAGTTTTTCAAGTTCATAAGACGAATGCTTCTGCCTTACATCTTATCTGCTTCATCTTCCAGAAGGTTGTATATTATATCTCTGAGTGTCTCATAACATTCTATTACCGCTGAATGCATATAATCATCAGCTGCTATCTTCCTAAATAACTCCTCATCATCCTTTTTCTTAAAATCTTTTGCCATGTCCAATGCAATAGGAATCTGTCATGTGTTATAAACCAGACACTATATAAGACACAGGATCTTGCATTGAGCTCAAATTTAATATCAAAAACTACTACACATATCTACCTTGCTAGCAAGCAAGAAAGGGGGCCACTGGACAACAGAGACATCACTTGATGAAGATGGTACAAGTAGCAAATCTCTATCCCTGGACAATAATAACTCAAAAGAAAATATTAGAGTTCTCTATATGATGCATTTAACAAATTTTATTGCCAGATAATTAAGTGAGGAATTGCCCAACCTATTGTTGATCAGATCCTGCATCCGCATAGAATGTATGAACTTATTCCAAACAAGAGAAAAAGCTGCAATATTCTTTCTTTCAGTTTCCTCATCCTGCCATGTTGAAATGTTTTTGTTTAACCAAAGAAACAGAAAGCAAAAGGAAGTACAGGCTCCACAGCTTTATAAATTACGTGCAAACTTTGCCTTTATGTCTAAAAAGACACACATTTCAACTTGGATAGACTGGTAATCCAGATAATTAAGAGCAATCACATAAACAGCACTATATCGCTTAAAACACTACCAGATGCTTTTTTCTGTTATACTGATTTGTTCTGGGAACAAGATGACGACAAAAAGCTGCAGGCACAGATTCAAATCTAGACCGCAACATCCCCAACGTCCGTATCTGAAAATGCCAATTGAAAGAAACCAACATTAAGAAAAATAATCACTAAGTCTTAACTAACAGAAAGACAGAAATAAATTCATTTTGTTTCACCAAAATCATATATGGTGTTCACAGGGCAACCAATATTTTTCTTTTGAGACATGTGCCTTCAAGGTATGAGAACATCTTGGCTACTAACCTCACCCAAATGGCTGAAAGCTCCATGAATCCCACCAAAAAGAGTAGAAAATATGGCATACCATATTTGAGCATCCATAAAATAAACCTATATGGAAATAAAATAAGACTAGTTATTTAATTTAAACAAATTGTTTAATAATTTTAAGTACCTCACAACAGAATAACTCATCATTCCCAAGAGTTTCTACATGCTAACTTACCAGGACTATTGGAGCCCAAATTGCAATAACAACTCCAATGTTATGAGTTACTACAGAAGATTCAAACATGACTTAGTACAGGCCATAGCCAATTGGGGAAAAAAAGTTCGAAATGACACAGACTAAAGAAAAGCAGATGCAGAAAGAGGGAAGGGGTAGTTTGAGGGCTAAACATCATACCATTCTTAAAGAATTCATGCCACTGATAATTATCCACATGCAAATCCATGATTATCTTCGTTGGTTGAATTAGTGGCAGTATCTATCAGCAGATCATGTAAAAAAACACCCTCAAAAATTTTCACATATCCTTTAAGGCAAGAAAGAAACAGGTAAAAGCAACTTCTTTATATGTATTCACATAGCATAATAATATATCAACAATTCACCCAAACTAGAATAATCTTATGTTCCAGCTATAGTGGCCGCAAAAACTCTGCACGCTGAACCTAGTCATTTAAGCCAGTTAAGAAATTTAAAACTTGTTTTAATTTTTCTACACACATGGTAACTAGAATCTTTTGAATTCTTTGACACCCTGCAATGCGCACAACCGCAAGCACATGCACAATATAAATCTGTGTACATAATTACTGGTACAGATGCAAACACATATGCACACCTAAATGCAAACATATGGGAAAGAATCACAGGCAAAGATAGCAAGAAGAGTTTACGACAGTGAAATATATTAAGGCTCCTTTTTGTCATTGCTCTAACCATTGCCCTCTGCATTCTCAAATTTTGTGATAAAGCAAAAGGAATAGTAAAATTTGAACTTGTGCATTAAAAAAATGAACACGTGGCTAAGAAATAACAGCAACTGAATCATAGGGATGTTCTGAAAATTTTGTGAACTTTAATAAAATTGGATGGCTCATAGTAGATGATGATTGTTTTCACGGCCTAGAATTAAAGAAATATTGTAACCCTAGTAGGATGAGTCTTTTAGACTCACTGAAACTCTATTACACCCTCGTTTACTAGTGTCAATAAATGCTTATGTGTCTGTGCAAGCAAACATAAATATATAACACACGTGTCCATAAAGCCATTTCAAGCTTCTACAACTGAGGTGAAGATACCTAAATCTGTAAGCTACATCAAGCTTGGCAAGAAGATTAATTCAAACTGAAATTTTGTAACACTTTTACTCACACGTGTGCTAAAAGAAGTAATTAATTATTAGGGTTCCACTTTAAGACAACCTATATATAAACTAAAACAGAAGAAATCACCTCCACATAGTAGCTGAAAGCTAGCTTGCTGATTAGCAGCACAATCCAAAAGAGTGTGTACCTGAAAATATGAAAAATGCAATTCATTCACTGGAGAAAAGGCATGTCCATAATACAGCACAAACGCATAATCTTGAATCTTTGAAGAAGAATGAAAACAGGATTACAATCGACTAGCACCAATAGAGAAAAAAATCTCATAACCTCCCCCTTCCCAACCACTGGTTAGAAAAATCCTTTCAACAGGGGAAACAGAAAAATAGGAAAAAGCAAATTCTTTTCTCTTACTTCAGAAGAGAGAAGAAGTCCTCGTGCATGCCTCTTCCTACATACAATTTTGGCTGCATCATGGTACAAGTTATATAAGGAGCCCAATTTTTAAAAGAAAAAGGAAAAAGGACATACTGCTGCCAAACGGAGAACAAGAAATTCAGTGAAAATTAAGAATACAAGTTATGCTTGCCTGAGCCCACCACATAATAAAAGTGATAATCCGCCAGTTTGATCGCTCCATGGCTTTCCGTAAAGGGGGAAGTAGAAATAGTATAGCAGCCAATATATTGGGTATCAAATATATAGCAACAGCATAATTATAAAATGACTCATTCCGCCAATCTTTGGCCCAACTGCTGAAGAACTTTACAAGCCCTGATGGATTCTGTACAGAGCTAGAATAACCAATGGGCAAGACCACAGCCCAGACAGCTGCTAAGGCAAATTTCAAAAGGTACCGAAGTATTTGGGTAATTTTCAAGCTTCTCCAGGCATTGAGACTAAGAATTATATCCAGAGTAGCTGCATGAAAAGTGATGTGGAATCACAAAATCTTTCAACTGCCACTAAAATAAGAAATAACTGGCTAATGAAATTTAGAACTATAAAGGAATTCCATGCAATAATATGTGGCTATACATATTGTGGTTGATTAACAGCATTGCTTCTGATAACCAAATATTCATATAAAGGAATCAATTAGCCAAGAACATCCCTAGTACCTTGCAGAAAATTGAGAAATGCAGCAGTAATGAAAATAGTCAATACACTTCTGAACACATCTTCATCAAAAAAGCCAAGAAGAGATCCAGAATTCCATGCAACAATTAGCATAGCCTGAAAACCATAAGGTCTTGTGATGAAGTAAATTTCTTTAAGAAAACAAGTCAGAAACAAAATGTGCATGCTCTATCATTAGGGTACCTGAAAAGCCATTATAAAGACTATCCACATGCGGTCAAAACTTCTGTAAAGGTGCCAAAACGTTCTGGCTTCTACAAAATTAACTTTAGGCTTCTTCTTTCCAACAGTAGCTTGATTTTGTCCCTGTAAGTAGACAATGAACATGAACTTAGATCTTTGGAAAGATGAAAGAACCAAATTAAATAGTAGGTGGTGAATGTCGAATGTGGAGAACCAAAGGGGTAACCATAGACATTTATGTTTAAGTCCCATTAGCAAGACAAAAAGACAATTATGCAGTCACAGGAATCTGATGTTTCTCAGGGAAAAACAGTGCACTATTGTCTTTTTGGGGGGTAATGGGGGGATGACAATGCCAAATAATTCAAATCCTAAGTTATCGAAAAGAATGTGAAAAGTTAAAAGACTAAGTTTAACCAAAACATAAGGGCATACAGTCAAGAAATGAAGTTGTAGGTTCTTTGCATGATTTTTATGCCATTTACCAATTTATTTTAAGTAAATTACATGAATTATATCATTTTGGTTATTGGTCAAGTCTAGGTTTCTAGGAGCTTATAATTAGATCTATTTATTGTACTCTGCACAATTACTAGGTCTTCAATTAAAACTATCATAAGTTACAACTCTCTCTCTCTCTCTCTCTCTCACTCTCTCATATTTGGGGTTTTTTATGTTTGCTGCCACCTCCATTATCTTCACAATCAAAGCCTTGAATCAATCCACTGCAAACCCACTGCCTCTCTGTTTGATTGCAGTCCCAGAATCTCAGCAAATTAATCTTTTGATTTCCAGCCATTACTCACCATCAAAATTCATCAACATAAACCTTAAACCCCTTTTATAAAATCTAAGCCAACCTCAAGCTGTATAGGCAAAATTGTCACACATATGCCAAGAGACTAATACAATAGTTTCATGACCTCTAGTCGTGAGACAAACTAAAACATGAAAATGAATAAATAAATACCCTTAAAAAGAGATCTAAAGAGCAGCTAAACCTAATTCACTATACCTCTGCACCATAGTAGCAGCAAGAGTTTCCAAAAAGTGACATACACCTTTGTTTCCAATATCAGCAAAAGTAGCAGACATTCCCTCAAAAAGACAGAAGGAATTTTAGGGGAGTGGAGGGAAAAAGGAAAAAAAGGAAGTTGATGCTAGGAATTGCACATATTATTTATAAATTTCATACAAATGTTGTGATTCATTTCAACTGCTTGTCAAAGCTCCTAAACACAATGCACTATAGGAGACCCAATGGACATGATCCAAAGCATTCCTAATATCTAGGAGAAATCTAGCTCAACACATGAAATGTGGCATCCATTTGCTGAGAATAATGCAGTCCAGAACTTCTCTGCCCCCCACTAAATAATTATGAGAATATAAGCCAATCATTCCAATTGCCTCCTTTAACCTAATATCAAACAACTTTGGCAGGGTTTTGGATTATTACCAAGCAAACTAACTAAATAGAAATCATTGATGTTGGAAGCTCCTCTACTCTTGGGAACCAGTTCTATTGCTAAAACACAATAGTGAAACTTAGCAATCATATTTGTAAAGCATCCATTCTATATAAATCCCAGCACTTTGAGAAGCTGCAGTTAGGGTCATCATCCATTCATCCTGTTAGAATGAGGGGCAATTTATAAACAATAATATGCAACTCAACATCAAATTGAGAAGGCAGAACATTAAGCAGAGATTCCTACATGCCATTAGGCTTCCTTCTATTTGTAAGCCTTTGAGAATCCGTTCACGGGTGAAGCCATAAAGTTGGGGGCAATAGAATAAATCCCCTTGAAGCAAAACCATTCTAGTTATATCCCAGCATTTCATCTTTCTCTAACTCAAAGCACTATCCCCAACTTGAAGCAGTTTTGTTCTCTTGTAAATTCATAACAAACTCCAGAATTTCGATCCATAAATTTACATCCTTTTTAACCCTAGCCATCTTAAAACAGCTGAGCTTTGCAATAAAGTTGATCTAGCCAAAATATTTCAGCAATAAAATTCTTTATGTCTAGAAACAATTTTCCTCTAATCTCAAAAATTAATTCAAAACACATCCTAAAGTTCTAAGTAAACTTGCTGAAATATAGGAAACTTTATAAGAAAAAGGCACTAAATTTTTCAGCATTCATTGTTAGGGTTGCCAAAGGAGCAAAATTTTATAAAAGAAAGAGCAGTTTATCTTTCTATTATCATTCTATTTTTCTCTTTCCCTAATGCCTAGGTCAGGATTATCTCTTTCTTATTACCATCTGTCCTCTTCATTTTCTTTATGTGTCATCCTTCAGGTCTAATAATAGTTCAGTATTCCTAATTTAAGTAAAATAAATACATCATTTCAAATTATAAGATAATTGTTAAACAACCAGCATCTGTTCCATTGAAAAAAAAAAAGCGATAAAAAAATAATAATATTATGAGCTATAAAAAATATAGGGAATATGTACCTCATTTGCTGGTGGCGGCTCATCTGAATGCGCAAAAAAATCTGCTTTCGAGTCCATTGGCCACTTCAACTGAAAACACCTTCTAGACCTAGAAAAAGGAAGGTTTACCTATTTATCCAACTTATTGAGCAAAACTCCTTTACTATCGAAGAAACTCACCAAAAGTACTCATTTAGGTCATCATAGTTTCTCCATTGTGAGTGGCTTGCCTTGCCTCCTTTGTTTCTCTTGGCTTCCTTTTAGTTAAATAAAATCAATTTTCAGCTAGGAAGATGTAAATAAATAGAATGAAAAAAGTATGGAGGTGCAACAAAATAATATTTACCCTTCGAAGAACTCCATAGAGAGGGGTTATAACATTCCTTAAAAAAGATTCATCATCTGGTACAGAAGAATGGTATGTGTCCCCACTCACAGGATGTACATTGCTAAATAGAACTCCATAAACATCATTTGCCATCTTATAGAATGAAGAAAGAAGATTCATTAAAAATATGACAAAGCTTTAAAATATGCACAAAAAAGGAGGGGAAAGAAATGTAATTTAGGAAGCTTCCCTTAGTGGGAGAAGCTAACCACATATCAAGCATGACGACAATCACCACAATTATATCAGTACGATACAGTGACTTTGTTAATATTCAAGCTGCCTGCTGTTGATCGTCGGACTCAATTGGTGCATCCAGCCTAACACCAATTGGTAATAGGTGGAGAGGTCCAAGTTTGAAACCAAATCTAAAGCCACAACAAACCCCAAACTTAACCAACATGGGGCAAAACCAATTACCACTCTCCCTTCTGTAGCCAAATACTAACAACTGAAACATACAGGCTTAACACTGACAAGAATATGAGGGTAAGAAACAACAAATTGCTAATTACAAACAGAACAACAAACAACTTGTACGACATCCAACTTTAAGGGCATCCAACCTAGAACCAGTTGGCTATAAGTGCAAAGGCCTAACTTGAATATCAAATAGGGTTTTCTGGAAATATCATTGGTTTGATAAGAACAAATTCCCTTGTTTGATGCTACTGTGCACTCTTTGAATCACTTTGTTTTCCATAACTAATCTGATCAGTATTCGCTTATCTGCTACTCCTTTGGTACAAAATATCATGTGAGCAAAAAAAAGTAAGCTCAAAATTTTCACCATAATGTGTGCATCAGTGTTCATTTCCATTTCTCTTTAGGTGGACAGTATCAGTTTTTCGGCAACCAAATTAGCAGATTAGCTACGGTAATTTTACAGTACTTAACTTTGTTCATGCTACCACAAGGGTGAATTTATGTGAAAACTAATTAGATAAAATTCCCCGGGAGTAAAACCAATTACACGCAAGAATAAATAGGATATGACCTTAGACACGAAAAACAAAAAAAGAACTTAAAAGTAGAATGAATAATGAGAAGTGAAGTGTTTCTAAACTTTATCTTGTTATAGTTGGCCCTCGATTTGTAGGTCAAACTATTGACTCATCTTGTTCAGGTGAAAACTACAAATATTACACCTCGTTTAGTCGGATTTTGGGTTTAAAGGGGAGTGGATAGACATTATTTAGACACAAGTCAGTTTAGATTTTGCTCTTTTAGATTGTAGGTTACTACTTAACAAATCAACACAGTTACTGCATCCCTCTTATCAGTGCCCCTACTATATCTGAATTTTACTATTTATGATGCATTAGCCATCATCAACATGATTAGTCAGAAAAATAAATAAAATGACAAATATAACTAATTATATCTATAAGGTTTGATAGATTAATGCTACCAATCTTTTTCCAAGAAGAAATTCACAAGAACTTAAGATGAGCAACAATAAGACTAAAATGATTCTTAATGATGAAAAGTTGATAAGATCAAGGAAAAAGCATGACATTCAGTTTAGGTGACTTAAAATAAGAGGAAAAATCTTATAAGAATTAGTGAAAAACTAGCACCATCCTACCCATAGATAAATTTCAATCATGGAGAATGCCTCATTAAAATCTATAGAAAGAAACATACATTATGGAATATGTAGCAAATGCATTCAGGCATGAATCGGATATTTGAAGCTTCACCCCAGATAAGAAGATAAAGCGAAATATAGATAAGCTCCAGCTGTTGTCTATCACAACCTTGTTGAAACCTGTAAAATAAAAAATAATCCAGGCACCCAATGTAAAATCTAGGAGTTCAACTCGTGCTATAAAAGATAAAAATGGTTTTAATTTTTCTTGCTACAGTTACGTAGTTGATGATATGCAATAACAAGATGACTAACCTCACATGTGACTTACAACGCAAATAGTTGCACCATGAACGATAATTCTTGAAAATTTTATCCACCAACCTCCTTATAGTTTCACCATTCAGCTACAATAAACTTGTAGTCAGTCTTGAACAAATGATGACATAAAGATGAAACTTAAGTCTGCTCCTAAAGTAGAAGAATCAAACAAGTATAAAGACGCACCAGTAAATGAAGATTTACCTGATCATAATCTTCAAGATTCTCTTTTTGCCTTACATCCATATTTGCAAGCAACAATATCAAGTGCTCTCTTTGATTTGCTACATTTCCTTTCTTCAAATCCCAAAAAATATCATTAATGATATTATATAGAGAAACTGATATTTCATGAAGAAATACATATGATACTACATAAATATTGTACCTAAACAACTTGAAAGAAAGAATCTTTGCTAAAATTTCTATGAACTCAAAAAGTCAACCAGGTACCTAGAGTTGGATGCATAAAATTGATTGAACTATGCTATTGTGGTACATTCATAACTATGATCATTAAAAGTTTGTCAGACATGCTTTCTAACTGATCAGAGAAGGCTTTAGAAATATTATAGCTTTACAAATACTACGATATATCTTTCCAATATAATCTATTGGTAGACTAAATTATACAGGAAAAGTTGTTCAAATCTTGGCCAATTTGTTGGTTAAGCACATAAAAATGGGCCCAAGTCAACAACAAAAATGTCCAAGGCCTTATTACTTTTCTTGAAAACCATTTTGAAAGAAGAAAAAGAAATGAAAACTCTTTCTTTTCACAGGTTAATTTTCCATAATTTTCACTATTTTACTGGAAGGTTTATCAAAAGGGAAAAATGAAAACTAGGTGGAAAATGTTAAGGAAGTTTGTGCTATTCACTGTTGCAGTTTCTATTTCACTCAATCTCATGATTATAACCGCTTTCAATCACCTACATAAAGCCCAATACTTCCATCCTGACCTGAAGAGGGCTAAACAAAATGAAAAAGAAAGTCTAAGTCATTGATGGCCTAGTAAAAATAGCAAACCATCCCCTTGGGAGATCAAATTCAAGTCTGATTCTTTTTACACATTAAAGGTATGTGGGATTATGATACACAGCCAGCTCAATAGTGACCTGGAATCCATGGCACATAAAGTGAAGTACAAAATAAGTACAACACAAGTATTCAAGGTAGTACCTGAAACCCAAAGAGAGAAGAAAGCCAATCAAGTATATCATTTACTGGTTTAACCCTCTCTTGAGGGATATCATCTCGAGGAACATTGGATGTCATAGGAACTCTGGGCATAGGGAGACCTTCCACCTTTTTTATAGCACGAAGTGCTGCTTTAATCTGCAATGATTGTGGAACAAACATTACCATGGTGAAATTAGACAATAGAAAGACTATTCGTATAACCAAACAAATTATATATTATGTACATATACAACCTCAGGAAGTTCCATAATAGCTGGTTTAACCCCAACAGCATACAACGGGAGAATGTTATAGTGTTCATATTGCTCCCTTTTCTTCTCAACTTCTTTAGCATATCTCTCAGTCTGGAATAACAAAATAACTTACGATAAACCATTTGAGTGTATTCACATGAAACATGCCCTTCAAAACTTTATACTGCAACACCAAGAATATACTTATCAAACCTCATCATCAACTCTAGAAGCTGGCACCACTGTCCTCAGCACATCATACAACACTGTAGCAATCTGATAAATTTTAGCCATCTCCTCCCTTCAAGAGCAAGAAAAAATCAAAAGACTAAGACAAATGCATAACATGCCTAGCTATAACGGCATTTTCAAGTGAAATAAAGATCTCACGGTTTCTTTGTATATTGGCCATCTGCAATGTTTTGCAAATAAAAATGCTGATAAAACAACTGAATTTCTCTTGGATCAGATCTTGCAAGTTGAGGCCTTGTCTCTTCTTCCTCCTGAAAGAAGGAAAATTTTATTTGCTCTTAATGTTGGAATTTTTGAAATAGAATAAGATTGTACTCTACATAATGAACTCTAAAATTCCTGAGGAATACATCAAACTATTTAGGCAAAAACCTTATCAGACAGTAAATCAATAACCAATAGCAGAAAAACAATATCATAATAACTGTAAGATTTGAAACCAACAATGATGAGAAAATTATCTCTAAATTTGTGCACGGAGTTATTTGCAGAAACAGTCAAAGTTGACAAATGACATGGACTCATAAGACTTCCACATAAAAGTTCCTCAAGAAAGTGACCCAAATCTTTTGAATGGAAGACAGAACCCCATCAATTCAATTTTCTATCTTCATTATGTAACAAATCATACTTTAATTATATTTTGTATCCTTGTTGGTCATGCAGAGAAGAAACGATAGAAGAAATATTCAGCTTGAATATGAAAATTTAGGGAGAAAAATCTAAATTGAGTAGCAATCCACAACTTAAGTAACAAAAGTCCATGAGATCTGCTCCTTAACAGCTAAAGCATTTAGAGAAAGAGATGTACCTTTTACACAGTTATACCACCAGTCTTTCTACAGTAAAGAAGGGGACTTTACAGAATAACTGTTTTAGCAAGTATCCAAGAAAATGCTTAAATTTTTAAGCAACAATAAGCGTTAAAGTTTACCTTCTCAAGTCTATGCAACAGATAGGTCTTAAACTGGCGAACACCACGTCCACTTGATGTTGGATCCATTTTGTGAGCCTTCTCAAATGCATGGAAGCGGCCTAATCGAAAAAATACACATATATATTTACAAGGGTCACAATATTAAGCATGTAGCTAGCAATATCACTATGAACATTACCTCTTGCCTTCGAACAATAATTCTACACAACTATATATTAAAGTACTTATAGAAACATTAATCTTCAGCCAACTGAATTTTCAAGGTAGCGAGAAAAACTTAGTAGAATATGAATTTGATGTTGCGTCAGTGTATACCATCTCATAAGCAGTCGCAACCATTTATTATTCTGAATGACAGTCTATCAATTACAAACTCGAACTGTTTTGGTCTTTAAAAAAAGAAGAAGAAGAAGTAAGGAAAGAGAGCGAATTACAGAGATAAGCGACTCTTGGGTTATCCTTTTCGATTTCATTGGCGACACGGAGAATAGGGGCAATGGAAGCCACGCTGGAAGGCACCAGCTCACTATCTGCCGTGGAGTTATCCTCATTGGGAATTTCCACCATCATAGTTTGAGCCCGAGTCATCCTCCTGGAAGGCGGCCGAGCCAGGTCGCCCTTCGTCCCGCTCGAGCTCGCCATGAACCCGAACCAATAACTTCTTCTTCACTAACAACGTTGTGTATTCTGGGTTTTTTACCCTTTGTGTTTTTGGTGATAGCAGTAGCAGCAGGAGTAGAAGAGCAAACCAAATTAGCTATCATCCTTTTTTCTCTGAATTAATTTTTTCCCTTTTATTTGTTCTGGGGGAAAAAGAGATGCTTTGAGTGACGGGTGGGGCAAGGGCAAAGGTAAAGGCAAAGAAGTTGCCCCGAGAAGAAGAAAAGAATGCCGATGAAAGGTATAAGCTAATATTTGATTTGAGCTGATTTGTTGGTGCTTTTGCTTTTTGGGGGAGGGGGGCGTTTGGAGCTTTTCTTCTTCCTTTTGCTATTAACAAATGGAGGATTAGACTTTAAGTGTGAGCTTTTCGTCCGGAAAGGAGCTGGCAGCTCTCAGCGGAACAGAGTCCTGCACTAGATTGGATTGGGGGCGGGAACTTTTACTTTTCTGTCATGCACAGTTTGGCAGCACCACGAGATGGCATGTTTCTCCAGTTACAGCTCGACACGTGTTTACACTGATTGCAGACCCTCTTCCCTGCACCTTATCTGACTTTTGCTGACGTGGCTCCGCCCGAACGAATAAGCCAAATCGGTCCAGATTTTTCTTTTCTAAATTTTTTTAAATTAAGATTTCGAATAAACTATTAGTAGCCAGAAACATCTCGCACGGTGAATTTGAAGTGATAAATTTTTATTTTTAACTTTTTACTAATTATTTTAAATTATAACTTTTTAAAAAATACTCAATTGAAATAATAATAAAGAAAGTAAAAAAAAGAATGATAAAAACGGTTTGCAAAACTAGAAAATGGTGTGCAGATTTCAAAGCAAATTTAGCAACTTTATGTACATTTGTTAGAATACTATTTCAACATCACGTTACAATTTTATTACTTATTATACACTGTTGTTGTTACTTAGTTCATATTTCTCAAACCCAAAACATGTTTGTTAAGTAAAAAGAAATCCCTTTTTTACAAACCCAAAACACCCATCTCATCTCAAAAATTTAAATAAATTCCAATATTATTTACCACGAGCTCGCAATTTTTTTAACAAAATGATGTTAAAAGTAACGAGGACAATGCATATATTACTTTGCTAATCAAATCTTTTCACCAAATACTACAATACAATTATTTCTATTACTCAAAGGCATTCATCAAATACTACAAGACAATTTTCATCAAATCTTAAGCCATTAGGCCCAAAATGCATAAATACATAAGCAATTCAGGGCAGGTTGGGGGCTTGGGAAAATTGGTTACACTGATTCTCATTTTAACTAGGACAGAAACATTGAACATGAGATGCTAAATAAATCATTTAGGTGAGGCCTTGTCTTTCCTCCCAGCAAGGATAATAGAAATTTGAAGTCCCCTGCTAAATGCTTGATTGAAGAGGATGCGGGTTTGAAACTCAGCTACAAAAGGGAGCCATGACAAAATGGCTATGGGCATGAAAAGCAGTAATCCCATGATGTAGTCATAGACTCTGGCCATCTCCTTTACTGACTTCCAGATTAACCCCTCCAACAAAGGCCTACAAGCTTGCGCAAGCTTGAAAGGACAAGGAAATGGACAATGTTAGGTAATACATTATTGTATGACAAGTGCTAAACTTTTAGACAGTCGGTCTATCAGATTACTCACAAGAAATAAATACTCATGAATTTGTTTTGTTATTATATTCATACTGTCTGAGAGTAGTCAGACTGTCCACTGTCAGACAAAATAGCATTACCCTTGTTGTATTTCATCTCTATAGATTATTAGAGATATGACAATATACAGTATGGGAATAAAAAATTGGAACATGGAAATGGAAACACAAGACATAACATTACTCCCATAATTTAGGAAAGCTTGAAACTTACAAGAAGAAGGGCCCAGCCAGTGGGCATGAAGGCAAGGACAGCAGCCAATAAATCTGATATAGTGAGGCCATATGCTTTGGATAAAACAACAATGATCCCCAAAGAGGCAAGAAAAAGAAATGCCTTGAGCATCCTGAATGCTAGCTGAAGTTCGATACCCAGTATTTGTCCACCCACTGATACAATCTGCACCAACATGGGGATCACAATAAGCAAAAAACCAGATCAATCTGTCTTGGTAACAAAACAGGAAAAGAAAATAAAATCTTATTTATCTGTTATTTCCTACTGGAAGAACATATAAAGGAGGATTAAAAATAATAAAATAAAAAGCAGATACATAGATGCATGCAAAAACTCAAGCACAATGTTTACATTTATGCTTGTGCCCTTCTTCAGCTACAAATTAGAGTTTTATCACATACCTTTGACAATAAAAGCACTGCTACCATAACACCCCATGAGAGTCCATAAACCTGCAATATTATATGTCAAACGCTTATGGTAGTATACTGGTTCCATAGCAAAATCAGAAAGAGGATGGTCTTGCAACCTAACTGGTCGTGAATAGAAAAAGAAAAAAAATGTATCAGTGAAAATAGCACATTATACCAGCCAACTCCTACTGTGATGAGCTATATGAAGGTGGTAGACAATCCCATATTGATAGACAAAGAAGCGAAGTGCAAGAATAATCGCAAGCACTCTTCCTCGTATATTTGTGTATTTAAGGTGCTCTTGTTCTCCATCCCACCATGATTCCCAACTTTTTTCAGGCTGAATACCAATACCTCCACGAATTCCCATCCACCGCTTCCAATCAGTCCAATCATCTACCGTCTTTTGCCAGTCAAAACCAGAGGGGTTAAAGACAAAGGGAGCAAATAACCAAGATCCAACCAGGAACCAGATTGAGCAGGTGATAAACAAATAAAGCTTTGAACTGCGATATGATTCCCCATAAACTTCATATAAGACCAATAGTATACCGAGTTCTAACCCTTTCACAAAGTGACTCCTTGAGTACAATCTATAGTTATCAGCAAACTTGGCATGAAAAACAACAAATCCACGCCCAGTAGCTCTATATTTAGAACCGCCATGCAAGATTGTTCTCCCAAAATAATGTGCTTTTGTGCCAAGCTGAAATGTAAAGAATACAGAGGCTAACTGCAGCTGCATGATGATAAAGTCACCCAGAGCCGTGCGGAACCCTTTCTCCAGGCTAATTTCCATAAGCATAGGCAGGACCAATAAGATGCCCATTTGAAAGACCGACTGAGGAATTAAGGCTGCTTCTAGGGACTTGTTCTGATTTATGATTGACTTCTCCAGAATCTCTCTTTCCATTCCACTCATAACCAAGTACAAACGTCCATAGAGAAATAAATATACAGTAAGCACGGTAACCTGAAACAATGTAATGCCAAAAACAGAGGAATACATGTTTATTCCCATTTCACAGACTGTAGGAAGTGTGACTAGAAAAACAAGGTCAAACAGCATGCACTGTGGCTTGTCATTAAAAAATAATAGATTCTATTAGTTTCCGAGTAATAAGTTATATACTGACTGTATATGGAGTGAGGTAACTTCTCAATTGACTAACCCATTAAACATGAAAATAAATACTGCTTTACAACTTAGGAAATCAAATTTGCCCTTCTCCAAAAAGTGCAGGGTAATTAGGCTATATAAATGATCCAATCACCTAAAGATTATCTATTTACCATATTCAAGTACATAAAACCTTAAAGAAAGAAATTAATTTGGTTTGCTCACCATGCTATTAAAATAGAAACCAACAGTTGTGAAGTAGAATGACAGCATTCTATAGAAGTCAAATCGACATCCAAGTCGATACATATCACGACTAAGTGTTTGCTCTCCATTTCCGTTTGCAACTTTAGCCTCAAAAGATGATATTTGATTCATGCCCACATCACGTCCTTTTCCTACTTGGATATAATCATGATGTGTTACATATCCTCCTCGAAGAGTCGAATTGAACCCTGAAAAAACTTGTGGAATTAACCTCCACTATTAAACTTGTGGAGTTAGTTAGATTAGTTACTGAAGATTACCTGCAAATATGTCCTCACTTAAATTAATAGTTTTTGAAGCTTTGCTTATGCCACCCCTTGTTATGTGGAAGATTCTGTCAAATATGTCAGGATGACCATAATGGAACCGTACCCTGCAAAGATAAGATCATTATAGAAACTATGGTTGTTATGAAAGAAATAAATACAATCATACTAGAGATAAGTAACAAAGTTATAATTCCCTAGCCCCAAATAATTATCAACTTGTCAAACAGAGGTAGGAAATAGATCTAGACAAAGAACTATTGCTGAATATATGCACTAAAAATTCCTGTCACTTGGTTACTTGAGAAAGTTTTTTTCATCTTGGAGCATTGAAGTATTTGTTAGATTTTATTTGATGTGACACCTATTGTAGACTGTTTTGAGAGACAATTTGAAATGTTATGGGACCAACCGTAGGAGTTAAATGTACTTAAGAATATATTAACAATATAACATATGGGCTATTCATTTATCACTATTATTCGGAAGGTTACTAAATGACACAAGCAACCATTTAAACTCCTGTTCCACATGAATATTAGCAACAACCCATGTACAATATTTCCTAAGCAACCATTTACTCACAATGAAAATTTAAGGGTACCTCAGAGGACTCGCTAAAAAGCGTTGGCCGATAGTTACAAAGCTAGTCTCTTGATTGGACATAAACCAAGCAAGTGATGAAACACTGTAAAAGAAAATTAAAAAGTATAAAAATATTAGTAATTAGCAATTTTTCTGCAAAATGGCTGCATTTTGACTTGCATGTGCACCCCTGTTACACTTATCAAGATAAATTAACTTTGTAGTGACAACTGGTCAGACTAACCTTCCTGTAAATATATGCTCTCTTAAACCTAATATTGTAGGTTTCCGTTGCCAGCAACCGGAGTGCTTGAACTCTTCCAAAACATTTCTCATCTTAAAAGCCTCTTCAAAATAGTTATCCTAAAAAACAAAGTATTAAAAGATGTTCAAGAACCTTAATTACCTATCTTGAGATGGAGAGAA